TTTTTTCAAATTTCAAGAACATTTCAATTTCTCAAAGCCTGTTTTCCAATACGTGGATTCTCAAAACGAAATTTTTTTATAGAAAATAAAAGCACCAAATGTCTACTTTATTTTAATATATAAAATGGGAACGAGGGTTAATTAGTTAATGAATTGATATAAGTACAGGACCATTTTATGCATAGATGGCTCTTGCTCTTTATAAAAATTTGATTTTCCTTTTGCAAAAATGAAGTTTTAAAACTTATAATAATGAATTTAAATAATATGCACCTTTAACATAAAATGGGATATGTCTTGTACGGAAGGTCGTTAATTTTAAGTTTTATTGCACGAAAAATGTGACCTTAATTTGTCCAAAAAACCATGTGAGTTTAAAAAATGCGTTGCGCTGCATACTGTAGATTCCTTATTTTTTGCGAGTACTTATTATCGCAAATGGGCTCTTAAACGGAAAGTCGCGAGAATAATAATTCTCAAATTTACAGTAAATCAAGAGATTTTACATAGATTTGAGCATCATAAAAATTATGGCGAAAAATCTTAGCTGCAGAACTGTAGCTCTCCGAAAAAAATATTTAAAAAGTGCGCTGATTTTCGATTTATTTCTCCCTGCTTTAAAAAATTTCATTTTACAATATTACTAACTGTGTGTTCTTAACATATTCTTTCACTGTTTCTACAACAAAACATTCCTTATAAAAAAAAGTAATTGTTTTAATAGCCCTCCTGGCCCTGAAATTGAGATCATCGAAAATTTCATCTATTTTTTCTGCCATTTTGGTTTGCAAGATAATTCGGTTCAACGCGCTTCGTACAGATGTAAACTACAGAAGTAATTGATAGAGGAGTAAGGACTTTATTGACATTTAGCATTTTTGCAATTGAGGTAAGAATTTGGAAGAATTAATCAAGAAACAGTGCACTATTTTGTGCGCAATCATATAAATATACAGATTTTTTTCAATGGGTGCCACTGTTGCTCTGTGGTCTATCAATACATATTTCTTCGGAGAGCTACAATTCTGCAGCTAATTTCGCGTGTGTTGCTTCTTGCAAATTTACGCGATAATTGATTCCACGCGTATATTTAGGAGTTTACAGTATAGGACTCGAGGCGGATGCAACAGGTCAACAGGGGTGCGCTTACGCATGATTTAAACTTGTTTCATTTCATGTGCAATATACAATGGGGTTGGGCACAAGTTCTTAAACCTAAATCACCCTCTCCCTACATGAAATATCACAAAAGCCTGAATTAGACGTGTTAAAAGTTTTTACAAAATAAATTAACTCACAAAATAAAAATATATACTACTACGTTATCGTTTATACAAATTATGAAAATAAAAACAATCAATTTAATCCACCAGAATGCTGAATATAAGAATGTAAAATAGCAAGTGAGTGATGCATCCCCCCAGAGTAAAGTATGAATGTCAACAATGCGAACTTTATTAAATCTCAAGAAGTTATCGAAGAACTCTTTCGTGGCCTCGTTATAGAAAAGACATGAGAAAAAAATATTTGACGTGTATCTTCTACCTTACTACAAGAGCATAGTAGATTATACATGTATATTGTTTCACCTATAAAGATCAACATTTAGCACGCAATTGTGCCCAAGTCTAGTATGCAGTATATTGTTGCGTCTTTTTCCGAAATTGAACTTAGGCGTAGCTATTGTTATTTTTGTTGGCTTTTACTTTTAAAAGCAGACAAAGAGCTGGTGTCTAACAATAAAGAATTTCGCCATTTACTGCAGTTGGTACAAATGATGATTTATAGATTTGCGACCTACATACAGGTAATATACTATAATTTTAAGAGGTTTTGCATGTTGTTAATCGGAAGCGTCTCATCTCATGTCAAGTTTAATCTTAGATAAGTAATCTGTGCATGGACCTGAATTATTGTGAATTTTATACATGATTTTTAATCTTTGGGTCATTCGTCTATCGCTGAGCGGTTCCCAGCCTGTTTCTAAATTCAAAGAATCTCTAGAAGCAATTAAAGTTAAACCAGTAATAATCCGAGCTGAGTGTAGTTGCAATAGCTCTATTTTTTTCAGAAATGCTAAGTCCTCCAGGACACCTGATCCTTACTCTGGTCTTTTCAGGTATCCATGTGTTTGCACTGTTCATAGTTCTTTTATAGAATGAAATTAATTAGTTATCATTATATTTTACAATAGTTATAAAATCTGGTACAGAGGGTAAGAATTTTAATCCATTAAAATGATACATACCTCCATGTTTTGTATAGCTGGTAAGTCGAAGCTATAAGACTTCCACTTTCCATTGGTAGTTATTAATCCACTTTTAGGGATGTGGCCTATAACAAGGTTGAGGCCTCCACTCCCACTTGTAACACAATCAAAGTCAATGCGAAGGGATTTCACCTGAACTTGAAAAAGAGAAAGATGCATGTTTTAGGACATGTCGATCGATGTTACATTTTATTGAAAGTTATATTCTGAAAATATTTCATTTTGGTCGAAAGTACCATTTTTGTAGCTATAGGCGCAGAACAGTGGCGTTATGGTTTTATATATTATTCTTAATTTGAACATTACACTACAGATCAAGTAATGCAAAAAGGTACAATTTAAGGCGCATGATTTTATGAGCACATTTTGGAAAAATTTCTCAATTTTTTCAGCATTCGTCAACATTAAAAATATGAAATTGGTAACAAGAATATCAGGAGTCTCTTTTAAAGTCATCATTTCGTAAGTGCTATGGTCGATAGAATGCCCTTGTCAACAAATACAAGGTATCAATGAGTCAAATGCTGACTGAGGTTTTTCAAACTATTTGTTAGTCCATTATTAATACACCGAATTGTCGACAGATTTTTTCTGTTATTTACCGATCATGACCATGAGCACACGGCGGGTGAGACCGGTCGGCTGGGGATGCTCACTCCTCCATGTCACCTGCTCCCACCTATTTTATATTGTTTTATGGTTTTATGGTCTATTGATCTTGCATGCAATTCGTTATTGCAATATGTTTCATCAATATCTACCCCCATTTCCCAGTGAAAGACCGATAACTCGCTTGTTTTGAATTTTATGCAATCCAACATAAAAATCAAAACAAGCAAGATAATCGGTCTGTAGAGAAGAATATCATTTTTAACGGTTCGAAATTAATCAAAATATACATGTTGGTTTAAGCATGTGTCTGCACTTAAAGAGTGAAAGGTAGACGATTGACCATTGCTTAAAAGTGGAGAAATTCTTCAAAAACAATTCTTTGTACATTCCCATGCGCCGCGTACGCGTTTGACGATGTCAATTATTATGTAGCGAACTCAATTAAAAAAATAAAATAAAAAAAACAAACACCAATCATATGTCCAAAAATAAGGCAACTTTGTGAAGACATTCATGTCTAACTGATTTATTTATGACTTCATAATTTCATAACTATTTTAATTGAGAAACAAATGCAATTAGAAAAATTACATTGAAAGTCAATACGAGTATATGAGGCATTATTAAATTGGTATTCATTTTTTGAAATTATCCATTTAAAGGAACATGGAAGAAATTATTATATGCATAAAACTTGTTTAGTACATGTTGAATGTTTTTCATGTTGTCTACCACTTTTTATCAGACCCACACGTTGCACTTCATCAGAATCACCGTTTTGATGTTTAAACAAATACTCTGGAAAATGTCATTGAATTGGCAAATCAGGAAAGGGCAAAAATCCACACCTAGAGCATCCCAATCTTTATTTTTAATTTACTGTAAGTTTGCTGTAAAAAATTCTGTTCACCATAAATATTTAATGAAAAATGTTCAACTTATACAGTGCTCGGATTCTAGTCAGAAGGTATCATGCACTTACTAGAATGTACCCACACTTCGCGTACTGTAGATCACTAAATTTTCGCAACACCTTATTTTCGCGAGGTAGTCATTAACTCTTGATTAGCGAGACAATATTTTAACGAATTATGGCTATTGCTCTGTATAATCTTTAGGAATACTATTATACGCGAAATTTTCGCGAGCACACTGTCTCGCGTAAATATGCGAAATAAAGTTCTCGCGAATAAAAAGTGATTTACAGTATATAGGTAAGTTTCTATGAAGAAAATAGTTGAATTTTTTTTAAAGATGCATGCATTCAATACAAATGTTTTCCCAAAATAACTTCACTACCCCCAATTTGATAAAAATATGTTGAAGGGAGCCGGTTTGGGTTTTAGTGTGTGAAAACAACAATTATAGAAAAACTAGCAATAGTAATACTATATGTTGCTTTCATTGACTTCAGTGTACATGCCAGGTTAGGGGAAAATCTATCATCCATTCATTATAGGGGGCCGTCTCAAAATACAGGTAAATAACTGTCTTATTATTCGATTTCAAGATGTGATCAATCGATTGGCTTGTGTGATACTTTGCATAAACACAGAAAGCGTTTATGCATAAAATTATCACGCCGAAATCGTTTATGCATAAAATTATCACGCAAGTCAATCGATTGACCATCGTCATGAAATCAAAACATCTGACAGTTATTCCTTATATTTGCATGCTCTTGATTCCGCCAATCCACGTGCTACAAGCCCCGTTTTTTTCTATTTGTCCCACCATACACGTTGTGATTTTTTTTAATCGTGCCTATTGATAAACCAAAACGTGCATGTAGAAATAAATTTCATTTACTATTCGTAATTTTTTCTCGGACAAAGACATTGAAAATGTAAATATTACAGGATAATTTATAAGACAATGTAAATTTTTCGCACTTAAACGCAATTTATACAAATTCTACAATAGAAATTTTGTTCAAATTATGATTTTTGATTGGTTATACTATACTGTGCAACATATGTAGGAAACACAAAATTCTACTGTCTTAGTTCCAGAGGGGCTCCTCAAAATTTCAAAATTAATGAAATTTCCGTTCTTCTAGAGTACTAGTAATGCACTGTATTACATATACAAGAAATATATACAAAATATTTTGATTGAGATATTCCTAAATTTAAATGTTTGAAATTGCAAGAGCTTATATGTAATACTCTTTCTTTTATAATATTATTATGACCCCTTATGTAAGAACTTTAATAAGTAAGTTAGTAAGTCTTTCATAACAAGTTCATATTTTAATTTATTACCTGTTAAATTTGCTGCCATTATTGCTGAGCCAGTGGCCAAGGCGTAGTACTGTCCTTTTGAAGGAGCCGGAATGCCGGAGTAGGACTGTATTTAGCCGCAAGTAATGAGGAAAGTGAAATTAATAACTATATACATTGAATGTATAACTATATAATATCACCATTAATGTAATTAATTGATATCAAAATCACTATTTAATGTCACCATAAATGTCAATAATTAATATCAATATTAATATCATTACTTGACATCACCATCAATGTCATTAAAAATATCAATATTAGTACTTAACATGACTACTTATGTAATTAACAAATATCAATATTAGTACTTACGATAACTACTTATATCATTGACAAATATCAATATTAGTACTTACCATAACTACCTATGTCATTAACAAATATCAGTATTAGTATCACTACTTTATATCACCATTAATGTCAATAATAAATATCAATATAAGTACATAATATTATACAATTATTGCTGTTTTGGAGGTCAATACGATGATTTAGACACGTGAGGAGTACAATATTCGATGAGCCCGAGGGCTTTTATGAAATTATTATGATATTTATTAATTACATCAGTGGTGATATCAAGTAGTGATACTAATATTGATATTCTTTAATGGCATAAATAATTTTATTATATGATGGAATAATTTCCCCATCTCCGATCGGCTGAGATCCAACAGTGTTAGAAAAATACGACGTTATATTGACCTACACGTCACCTTCCAGGTCGATACAAGGAATTATTGCAGGTCAATATTATGAATCATGTGACCTTCCAGGTCAATACAAGGAATTATTGCAGGTCAATGTACGGAATTATTCCTGTTCCATATTTCCTGTAACAATGCTTTTTTTTTTAATTTTCTCGTTAAATCTTTCAATTAATCAAAACAGTCTTGTAGGAGTTTGCTATCATTGAATCATATAATAAAACAGTTATTGCTGTTTTTCTGAGGTCAAAACGAAGATTTAGCCACCCTTGAAGTACAATATTCACTGAGCACAAATTGTACTCCTCATGTGTCTCAATCATCGTATTGACCTCACAAACAGCAATAATTGTAAAATATTATTATCACTACTTAATATCACCATTAATGTCTTTAACTTATATCAATTTTAGTATCACTAAGTAGTATATCCATTTATGTCATTAATTAATAACAATATTAGTATAAAAATAAAATACGCAGTTATATAATCATATACTGTTCGTTATCTCCATATGTTTCATGGAATGAGTAAAAGCTATTGTGTAAATTAGATGTCCACAACTGTGAGTGACACATTTTGCAAAATAAGACCTTCAAAATATTTCTTAATAAACTAAAAATATGGCTTTGTGAATAGATGTATACTTACATTGGTTCTTTTAAAGTTTTCAGCGGATATACACATGTCTTTCTCAAATCCACATCTTGATAGTACAACTAAAATAGAGTTTAAACTATAACTGTTTTTTAAATTACTTTTTAAAGTAAAATTTTTGATAAAGGCTTGTTTAAATATACATGCTAAAATCAATCTTTGCGAAATTCGAAGTGAACTTGAGGGGTGATCAAAAAGTTCGCTAACCATCTCTAGATCTAGATATACAAAGCCAAAATTCAGATTTAAAAAAAATTTGATACACACATAGCCATACACAAGTTCTATAAATAGCATATGCTAAATAAAGTTTTGCTCCTTGTGTGTGACGTCACAATGTAAAAATGACGTAACTATATATGTCACTTGTGCCGAAAATTTTTGTCTTATCCGTACTCATTCAACAAAAGACTGTAAAATCTATGGTATATCTTAGAAATCCATTTGAAGTAGCATATAATAAATTTTACACAGTTTATTAATACAAATGACTGCCTATAAATACATTCAATGATTGGATTTATTGTTTTAATAAAGTGAGGCAAATGGTTAAAAATGATACTTATTAGGTAGTCCAGTGGAAGCAAGTTTGAAAAGAGATGTTCTTTTAATTAAGCAAATTGCTATCAAAAACCTCCAATTTACATTTTGAAAAATAGTTAAAATTTTCAACAATGATATAATTATTAGATACCTAAGATATCGTTTACTTTAGGTTTTAAACATATTAGATATGATAAAAAGGAAGGATATGGAGATCACAAACAGTATTTAATCTAAAAGTCCATAAAACAATACAAAATAAGAGCAGAGCAAACACGGACCTTCGAAGCATCAGAGGTGAGATCTGGTGCCATGGAGGAGTGAGCATCCCCTGCCGACCGGTCACACCCGCCGTGTGCTCCTTGTCATGATCAGGAAATAACGGAAAAATCCGTCGTCGATTCAGTGTATAAATAATGGACAAACAATTAGTATGAAAAACGTTAGTCAGCATTTGACTCAATGATAAATTGTATTTGCTGACAATGTCATTGTATAGATACCAAAAGAACTTAAGGCTGCTGACAAGGTTATTGTATAGATACCAAAAGAACTTAAGAAATGATGACTTTAAATGAAACGGCTGATATTCCAATTTATCAACTTGCTTGTCAATAATTTACCTCGTTTTAGAAATTATTCATACGTAGAGCAAGCTCTTGCGTATCGAATCGATTTATATATATATATATATATATATATATATATATATATATATATATATATATATATATATATATATATATATATATATATATATACTATATATCCCCTACCGGAAAGTGTAATCTAGTTCCCACTCAAAATTGAATTATCACAATTTCATTAAATATCATTAAAGCTATACAAAACTCAAAACTCAAATTTTGATCTGTAACTTATCAATTTCAGATCAAAAACTAAAAATCAGCTCAATGTCTACAAGCGTTTATAAAAATCAGCTCAATGTCTACGAGCGTTTATAAAAATCAGCTCAATGTCTACAAGCGTTTATAAAAATAAATGCTAAAAACTCTTCTAAATTCAAAAGGCCATAATTTTGCAAAAACTGTAATTAGTTTAAATTAATACGTAATAGAACAATATGTTTTGGAAGAATGCTTTCCAATACGTGTAATGATAAATCTAAAAATGCATATTTTCTTTATTTAATCAATTATTCAATCTTTAAAATATGAAGGAAAGGGAAATAACTCCTTCTAATGTCTCTTCATTCAGGCCTTTGCTTTATTGTACTTCTAATGTAAAATAGTTTCCCTAATATTCACAATTCAAAAGTATCTTGTAAGTAGGAAGTATTAAGGAACATTCAGCATCAGAATTATGCATTTTTACCAGTTTTTACATATATTTCATAATACTGTTTACAAAAAATGTGCGATTTTTTTATTGACATACACTTCTGTTTATTTATGTTTCGCATATTAAATAATATTGTGACTTATACATTTTTTGCAATAATTTGAAAATTTAAAGTAAACAGTATTGAATGAAAATAAAATGCAGTTTTTGTACTTTGAAACATTAAAATTGTGTGGGTGGAAACACCTTGAAATCTTTACAAATAAAGACAGCGAGACGGACGGACAGACAAATGAATGGAAAGACTAAGAGTAAATCTATGGTCCCCTCCTGTTTCACTGGTAGCGGACTAATAATTATGTTTTAACAAAATAAAACACATTTTGAGCCAAGCAATCAAAAGCATCTGCTTACAGGGGTGGGATCAGGTACCATTTAGCAGAAGGCATCCCCACTGAAACATGACATATGTTTTTGTCGTGTTCATACTTACGGTCATCACAGAGAGTCCCGGTATACTCCGCTGGACAGATACACGTATCATGTGGCCTACAAAATCCATTGTTTTTACATGGATTCGGAGTACACTTAGGAACACCCTCTACCTCCTATATAAAGAAGAAAAAATATCTTTCAGGAGAAGATAAGATACAATTCTATATCAAGTCGGATATTGATACTCATTATATTATTAGCTATCTCTTCCCCAGGCTATTTTTTCTATAAACTATCGATGACAAGAGTTGCCTACCTTTGGCTTAGATCTGGATCCACTCCTTCTGTGAATGTTTAAAAAGTCAGGACGCACTGCCATCTTATCCTGGTAAGAGTCGGTATCTAGCCCTCCCTGTTTAACAATAAATTGACATTTATTTATAAAAAGCCCACTATTTGAATTTAAATGTACAGAATTAAAATTCTCAGTTTGAGACTGAATGTCGTCAGTAAAAGGGACAACTGTCACAAAATTGTGTGTAAAGAATGAAGATATATCACTGCATTCCCCTTTTTCGATGTTCGGTTGATGAGGGCTCTGCTATAACGACTTCCCTTCCTTACTACTAGCAGTGATCTTCATATTGTTTATTCTACCACTATTATTGCTGAAATAAAGAACTGCCGCGGACTATATTCTAGCATACGTATATAACGAACCTCATCAAAAAATTATCAGATCAGGAACACGTATCAAACCTGTACAGTTGAAATAAATATTTGACTCTAAAATGAAGTACTTATTTAGACTCATCGATGTATCGTCTTTCATAGTCGAAACACAGTGTAAATTGCATAAACTAGATGATGAATGCATGTTATAGCTAAGCGAGGCTGTTCCACGGACCTCCCTACACCATATTTTAACTTTGTGATTTTAGTGATAAAGCAATAAAATAGAAAACGGATTTGTTATTTTACATTCATAAAAATACTTAATTATTGGTACAATTAAATATACTATATAAAAAGCTATTTTAATGCAACAACAGTTTATTCGTCCGCCTTCCGTACCAGGTAAACAAAAAAAAAAAAAATTTTTTGGTTTTAAATGAAACGCCATAATCGAGACATGCTAAGCCAATTCCTTTCTCTATAGAAAAAAATTCAAGAGCTCTAATGGACTAACAATTGGTATGAAAAACGTCAGTCAGCATTTGACTCAATGATAAACTGTATTTGCTGACAAGGCATTGTATCGACCATAGAACTTACGAAATGATGACTTTAAACGAGACTGCTGATATTCTTGTTTCGTCAACTTAGAAATTGTTCATACGTAGAGAATGCTCTTGCGTATTGTATTGTATAAAATAAAATTGCGTAAAATAATTCAATTTTAATTTTGTTCCTTTTAATCTACACTACCAACCAGACCCAACCTGACACAAAGCAGTCCTAGAAAGCAGTCCTGGGACCGCTGTGGGACTACTCGGGTTCCGCTATGGGACTACTCTACCGCTGTGGGACTACTCGGGTTCCGCTATGGGACTGCTCTACCGCTGTGGGACTACTCGGGTTCCGCTATGGGACTGCTCTACCGCTGTGGGACTACTCGGGTTCCGCTATGGGACTGCTCTACCGCTGTGGGACTACTCGGGTTCCGCTATGGGACTGCTCTACCGCTGTGGGACTACTCGGGTTCCGCTATGGGACTGCTCTACCGCTGTGGGACTACTCGGGTTCCGCTATGGGACTGCTCTAGAAAGCAGATCCAGCAGTCCCAGCTACCCCTGTGATTGCTTTTTGGACTGATTTGTTCATTCATGTGTGAAAAAGGTTCTGAGTGACATGACAGTCCCCCTTGCCTATTCTGAATTTGCAGGCTCTCTGTTGTTTCGGTTACTTGCAGCTTACAGGCGTTTGAATTATTTAAAATGCAAGGATTTAAGTCGAGATTGTTACAGTTAAATAATATTTTCAAGGACAGTTGTTATGGGTCAGAATAACCCTAAATGCCAGCAAAGATCAATCACACAGTTTAAACTTAACAATAATTTATTTACAGTAATATACAAATCATTAAGTACAAACTTAGCAAAAATCTAAAGATACATACATCAGAGTGTCCGTTGCTGCACACAATGTCCCAGTGAAATTATATCCCAGTAATACCTCAATGATGCTTATACGACAATAGTATCTATGCATCGAATTGACAGGATATTTATACAGTAATATAAATCTAGAATATTCTAGAAGTTGTAAGTACATGATATTCCTGGAAAGTTCTGGACATGAATAAAGTTCAAGAATGTTCTAGAAAAAATGACTAAACATGTTGACCACTCTGGAATGTTCAAGAAACTTAATGTTACTAATAATATACATGATGAAACAATACAAATACAACACACCTCACAACACCTCCCCCCTTAAAAAGTTTGAATGTCAATGAAAAACTTAAATTGTAAAACATATGTACATGATGAAACAATACAAATACAACACACCTCACAACACCTCCCCCCTTAAAAAGTTTGAATGTCAATGAAAAACTTAAATTGTAAAACATATGTACATTCTGTTATGGGTCAGAATAACCCTAAATGCCAGCAAAGATCAATCACACAGTTTAAACTTAACAATAATTTATTTACAGTAATATACAAATCATTAAGTACAAACTTAGCAAAAATCTAAAAATACATACATCAGAGTGTCCGTTGCTGCACACAATGTCCCAGTGAAATTATATCCCAGTAATACCTCAATGATGCTTATACGACAATAGTATCTATGCATCGAATTGACAGGATATTTATACAGTAATATAAATCTAGAATATTCTAGAAGTTGTAAGTACATGATATTCCTGGAAAGTTCTGGACATAAACAAAGTTCAAGAATGTTCTAGAAAAAATGACTAAACATATTGACCACTCTGGAATGTTCAAGAAACTTAATGTTACTAATAATAATCATGATGAAACAATACACATCTCACAACACCTCCCCCCTTAAAAAGTTTGAATGTCAATGAAAACATATTATTAAAATAAAATTCATGTACATTAATACAAAATCTAATTTGTTCATGATACTCTGGACAAGGCATCTGCAATAACATTGTCTTTGCCTTTGATATGCTTAATTGTTATGTTGTATTCTTGTAACAACAAACTCCATCTAGTCAGTCTTTGATTCTTGTTTGACAATTTATGCAAAAATGTCAGGGGGTTGTGATCCGTATATACAAGAATTGGATGCAAAGTAACATTCAGATAAACATCAAAATGCTGTAAGGCTAACAACAAAGCAAGGCATTCCTTTTCAATGGTGGAATACTTTTGTTGACATTTTGTAAGTTTCTTTGAAAAATAAGAAACAACTCTATCTACATTATCACTATGTTCTTGAAACAAAGCTGCCCCGATTCCAACATCACTAGCATCAACAGTAAGCTTAAATTGCTTAGAAAAATCTGGAGTTGACAGAACTGGGTTGCTCATAAGGATAGATTTGATTTTGTGAAACGATTTTTCACAGTCCTTTGTCCATTCAAAGTTTACCCTCTTTTGTAAAAGATTTGTAAGTGGGCTAACTACTGAGGAAAAATTTGGACAAAATTTTCTGTAAAACCCAGCCATGCCCAAAAACCTCATTAACTCTTTCTTGTTTGTAGGAATCGGGAACTTTGCAATAGCTTCCACTTTAGCCATTATGGGTGTAACATAACCTTGACCTACTTTATGACCTAAATACTCTACATAAGCATGACAAAATTCGCTCTTCTCAAGGTTCACAGTTAAGTTTGCTTTAGCTAAAATGTCAAACAAAGCACGCATGATTCGGAGATGTTCGTCCCATGTGTCGCTGTATATGATAACATCATCAATGTAGGCCTCGCATCCCTCAAGGTCTTGAAGAAGGGAGTGAATCATCCTTTGGAATGTAGCCGGTGCGTTTTTCATGCCAAAAGGCATTACTTTATACTGGTAAAGTCCATCTGGTGTAGCAAAAGCAGATATTTCTTTTGCTCTTTCTGTTAACGACACTTGCCAGTAGCCTTTCAACAGGTCAAATTTACTGACAAATTTCGCGTTTCCAATATTGTCAATACAGTCATCGATTCTGGGTATTGGATAGGAATCAGATTTGGTAACAGAATTCACCTTTCTAAAGTCTGTACATAATCGGTAGGTACCGTCCTGTTTTGGTACAAGAATACACGGTGAGCTCCAATTACTTTTACTAGGTTCAACAATGTCATTGTCCAACATATACTGCACTTCCCTTCTTAGGTACTGCAATTTTATTGGATTGAGACGGTACGGATGTTGTTTGATAGGCAGGGCGTCGCCAACTATAACATCATGACAAGCTGCATTAGTTTTCTTTGGAACATCCGAGAAGATTTGATGATACTCATTCATCAAGTTTTTAACTTGTTCTTTTTGGTGAATGTTCAAATGTCCAAGTTTGGCATCCAAATTAGCCAAAACTTCTGAGTTTTGCAAACGAACACTCTGATTACAATCTTTCTCATTCATTTCTACACTCGTATCACTTTCAATACAATTTTGAACAGTCTTAGCATTGGCTAAAGTGGAAACTGGTTTTACAGAATTTCGGTCACACCTTTCAAAATACTCTTTTAACATGTTAATGTGACAAACCCGTTTCTCTTTACGTCGACCTGGTGTCTTAACTACATAGTTAACATCACTGATCTTGCTTTCAATTTCATAAGGGCCATAAAATCTGGCCTGTAAAGGATGACCAGGAATAGGTAAAAATACAAGAACCTTATCACCTGGCTTAAACACCCTATTTCTGGCATCTTTGTCATACCACATTTTCATTTTCATCTGAGAACTCTTCAAATTTTCTTGTGCTAATTTACAAGCATTGTAAAGTTTTTCTTTGAAATCAGACACATAATCTAAAAGATTAAGATCCCTAGTCTCAGTCAGCCACTTTTCCTTCAACAATTTCAAAGGACCCCTAACCGTATGACCAAACACCAATTCAAAAGGACTAAACCCAAGAGACTCCTGGACTGCCTCTCGTGCAGCAAATAGTACAAGATGAACCCCTTCATCCCAGTCTTTTTCATACTGGTAACAATAGGTCTTTAGCATTGTTTTTAGGGTTTGATGAAAACGTTCTAGCGCTCCCTGGGACTCAGGATGATAAGCAGTTGATCTATACTGCCTTATACCCAACTCATGCATGACTTGCTGGAACAACCCCGACATAAAATTTGAGCCTTGATCCGACTGAATTGCCTTTGGTGCTCCTACAAAACTGAAGAACTTGGTTAGGGCCTTGACTATGCTCTTTGCCTTTATATTCCTAAGAGGTATGGCTTCGGGGAATCGAGTGGATGTACACATAATGGTAAGTAAATACTGGTTCCCAGATGTGGTCCTAGGCAAAGGTCCTACACAATCCACCAACACTCGACTAAACGGTTCTTCAAAAGCTGGAATTGGTTGGAGAGGGGCGGATGGTATCTTCTGATTCGGTTTACCTACCATCTGACAGACATGACACGACTTACAAAACTCAGAAACATCCTTCCTTAGTTTAGGCCAATAAAAATGACTCAAAATCCTATTATAAGTCTTATTGATACCTAAATGACCAGCCATAGGTGTATCGTGAGCTAAACTCATGACATCTCGACGATAAGCAGCTGGGACCACTATCTGGTGAACAACACGCAACACTTCATCTGGGGAAGCGTCAGGTGGTCGCCATTTTCGCATAAGGATGCCATCTTTCATATAGAAGCATTCTCCAACTTTAGTAGCCTCTTCTGGTGGAAGTGCCCTCTTACTAAGTTGAATGATATCTGGGTCTTTATATTGTTCAGAGAGTAAACGTTCTCGGCTGAGGATGTCCTTGCCTTGGCTTTCTGGTAGATTTGACTTATCTTCATTACCACTAAATTTTGATAAAGGTTCCTTCGTCACCGACTTCTTGATATTGTGTGGTTCCATGTTTGTTTGAGTGTCATTAAGGTCAGATAAGAGAGTGTCATTCAAATCAATATCAACAGAGGAATTCGTCTCGTCAAAGGCTTGAGTATGGTCTGCCTCCATTTCTCGTCTTCTGGCCATCGCTCTAGTAACAGCACAGGCTGGATAAATGTCATCATTTTCATCATCGCACATGACATCTGGAGTGATTTTCTCACAAACTATAGGATCTGGTACAACTTTTCCACCAGCTAAATCGTTGCCTAGCAACAAAGAAATGCCTGGAACGGGAAGAGTAGGTCGAACACCTACGATAACTGGTCCAGTGACTAAATCTGACTTCAAACTAATTCTATGCAAGGGAACATCAATGACGCCTAGCTCCACACCCTGTAATAAAACTGACCCACCAGTAGAAGTCTGCTCAGACAAAGGAAGCACGCCCTCTAACAATAATGTCTGTGCAGCACCAGTATCTCTCAAAATCTGGACAGGTTTTATTTCGCTAGAGTCACCGAGTGAAACAAATCCCTGAGACATAAAGGGCTTATAATCCTCCATAGAATCAATAGCACTGGACTGTGAACCCTGGACATCAGGAGTGTCAGAACAAATCGAAACTAAGGCTTCTCTATCACCTCTAACTGCCGCACAAGCATGTGGTTGAGTTTTATCAAAATCATTTTTTCTCTTAAGTTTAAAGCATTCACTGATCAGATGACCCTTTTTCTTACAATAACTACAAGTAGGAAGCGACCCTATTCCAGAAGATCCTTCAAAACGTCCTGGACCGGACTTAGAACCACCTTGGGATGGAGACTGGGAACTTGTGAAAGACTGAGACCCTGAACCACTCTTTTTATATGTGTCTGAATTGGTAGAATTACTGCTAGTCTGAGTTCTTGATACAAAATTCTTTTTATGAGACAGAGCATAAGTATCAGATATGACTGCTGCCTCTTCAAGAGTTTTCACATTCTTATCTTCTAAATGTGTTTTCAAATCTTGAGAAACACATTCCTTAAACTCTTCTACCAGGATGACTTGGCGCAAATTAGCAAAAGTTTTATCAAGATTTTTAGATCTAAACCAATGATCGAATAAATCTTCTTTCTCTCGTGAAAATTCAACAAATGTTTGATTATCAAACTTCCTATACTTTCTGAATTTTTGTCTATATGCTTCAGGTACTAATTCATATGCTTTTAATATTGCTGCTTTGACCTTCTCATAGTCTGAACTTTCAGCTACCCCTAGTGCAGAGTATACCTCAGCTGCTTTGCCAACTAGTACACTTTGTAACATTGTTGACCAAACGTGTTGTGGCCATTTAAGATTCTCTGCGACTTTTTCGAATTGGGGAAAATATTTGTCTACAGATTTTTCTTGAAATTTTGGAACTAATCTGATATTTTTTGCTGCGTCAAATTCAGTTTTGACAACTGACGGTTCTGGTTGGTTTTGTAATTTTAATTTCTCTAATTCAAAGTTCATTTCACGCTCTCTTTCTCGCTCTTCTCTTTCTGCTGCTAATTTGTCTAATTCAAATTTTCGTTCACGCTCTCGTTCTTCTCTTTCTAATTTGTCTAATTCAAATTTTCGTTCTCTTTCTCTTTCTCGATCTTCTCTTTCTAATTTTTCTCTTTCTAATCGCATTTTCTCTAACTCTAATTGAAACTGATATTCTGCCATTTTGTAAGAGCCTAACTCTGATTTAACTGTATATTCTGGAAGATCGTATTTTTCAAAGATGTTTTCTTCTACTAATTTGTTTGCAACCTTAATTCTAATGTCTTGCTTTCTCTGAGAGGATTTAACATCTAACCCAAAATGCAAACCTAATGCGATCAAGTTATCCTTTTTTAACGTATCAAAAACCTGAACACTTGGTGAACTAAGAAAGTCTGTGACCGAAAATACCATGTTGATTTTTGCTGGCTTATAGTCAAATTTAACAGTTCAATAAACAAAATTCTTACAATAAACTGCAAAAGTGCAAAAAAAAAAATTCTTTATCCCGGACGAGCCCCCAATTCTGTTATGGGTCAGAATAACCCTAAATGCCAGCAAAGATCAATCACACAGTTTAAACTTAACAATAATTTATTTACAGTAATATACAAATCATTAAGTACAAACTTAGCAAAAATCTAAAAATACATACATCAGAGTGTCCGTTGCTGCACACAATGTCCCAGTGAAATTATATCCCAGTAATACCTCAATGATGCTTATACGACAAATGTATCTATGCATCGAATTGACAGGGTATTTATACAGTAATATAAATCTAGAATATTCTAGAAATTGTAAATACATGATATTCCTGGAAAGTTCTAGACATAAACAAAGTTCAAGAATGTTCTAGAAAAAATGACTAAACATATTGACCACTCTGGAATGTTCAAGAAACTTAATGTTACTAATAATATACATGATGAAACAATACACATCTCACAACACAGTATATACACACAAATTTAGTTTAGAATATTAAAAAAAATGAAGTTCTTACAAAGAAAGCTAGGAGGTTTTTTTCCTAAAAAAAACTACATTGTTTAGGTTTTATGAGAAAAAAAATATCTACAAAAGAATATGACATTGTGTGTCTATTTTATTATTTATTGTGAAATTATGTACTAAAGTTTGCATTGGCACTAATTAAAAATAATTAGACATTCCATTTTTCAAATTTTTTTCGCATTACAAAGATTGAAATTAGGGTCATTGTTGACTAGCATGTTCAATGATGTGTAACACTGATGCGTGTACCAAAATAAAATGCATTGATTTTCTGCCCAAAGGCGCTTGAAACTGCGGGTGTTGAAATCACTTTATACATATTAATCGTCCAGGTGAACTTAAACAAAAAAAATAATAAGAAGAATTCCCGGTTTTTTACTGTTTATTTTTTTAAAATAATGTACTTTTTAAATAACTTTATTATAAATTTAAAAAACTAATTAATTCATAGATCCCCAGATAATTGTTCACATTGTTTATGTTACGGAAGAATGGTAGCATAATTTTTGATGGTCATTGAGTAATTTTGTAAGGTTTTATTTTAGGGTTGCATGAAACACTCCTTACTTCGCATGGTACTTGTAAACGTGTAGAAAATTGACGATAGAAAAGTTGAAGCCATCACGTTAAACATAAAAATAAAATTATTATTGTAATTTTGCAATCATTGTCCTCAATGAGGGGGTTAACATTGAAGCACAATCATACGAATTAAGTTCCAGGGTGTTTTTATCTCAAGCTCAGTGAGATATATCGAAGCAACGTTTAAACAGAACATAATTCTTCATAATTCATAAAAAGTTGTAGATTTATATTAATGTTTACGTAAAACAAAAGTTTGGCAGAAATTTTCATTGGATTGCTCCCAAATTACCATAGAAATAGAATACCATATCAACCACATACTACAGCATCTTCCTAATATCTAGTTCTACACTAAACCCAAACTTGACAAAGAGTCATTTGTTTAAATAAAATTAATTTCAAGAAGACAATTCATGAATTCTATACTCACGAATTGGGATTCTTGACACAACACTGTGACAATACACATCAGGAATACGACTTCTCTCAGCATTGTGTTGAGTTTTAACAATGAGGTACTAAATCAGCTGTCTTTATAACAAAAGACCCAATCTATATACTATTGGTGATGAATGTGATAAACGTTATCAATTTTCTACATCTTTAAAAGAGAGTAAAAATACAACTTTAAGGCCTTCTTCTCTAGCAAGATTTCCTATCAGATAGGGTGCATCAAGTTCTTTTATCAAAGTAAATTGAATCAAACACCTCTAGCAAGGGAGGACCGAGGATAACCAACCAAACCTTTTCATCAAATGCATAATGATTTTTATTCGCCTACGAAATACATGATTTACTATGAACAAATCTGTTTAGATTATTCTTAAATTTGATTTTCCTTAAACTAAAACTGTTAAAGATAGGCTTTTTTTCTGTATTTTCCAATTGCTTGGATTCAAAATAGAAATCAGGTGTTTAAAATCACTTAATAATAGGATTGTCAACAGTCGATGGAGAAAAAAATACACCTCCAAATCACCTAATCTCATGTCAGGCGTTCTGAGTTGGTAAGTCTTAGCCCTCCTCCCACTTTTTAACTTCACTGAGCTCATAGCTCTTGTGATTTTTTATTTATTATATTTTGGCTGAAGTCCATCTCTTTATCTAGCTGAACGTCCGTCCGTTTGTTAAATTTTTACATATTCGACATCTCTGCAACCAATTGACCAATTTTAACCAAACTTTCCAGAAGCATTATTGAGTGTAGCGAATGCAAGCTTGTTCAAATGAATGGGAGACAATTCAGAAAAAGTGAAAAATCGGTTGCATGTTTACAAAAAACTTCTTAAGAACAAAGAAAAAAAATGATGAAATTTATGGGAAAACACATCAGCATAAAATATTAGCTCTGAAAAGAATCCCCTACCGACGAGTAACACCCGCCTTGTAACAAAAAATCCGTCGTCAATTCAATTCGCATTAATTGTTTATATCTCTCATTTAATTTGCTGTGCAAGATCATGCTCTATGTATGCACAATTTCTAAAACGAGGTATATTATTGACAAACAAGTTGATTATACAAGACTATCTGCTGTCTCGTTTAAAGTTATCATTTCATAAGTACTATGGTCGATACAATAACATTGTCACCAAATACAATTTTTCATTGAGTCAAATGTTGACTGATGTTTTTCATACTATTTGTTGGTCCATCATTTACATGTACTAAATTGACGATATATTTTCCGTTATTTCCCAATTATGAAAAAGAGCATACGGCGGGTGTAATCGATCGGCAGGGGATGCTCTTCAGAGCTAATGTTTTTTGTTAATGTGCCTGACTTTGAATAAATATCTTCTCTCATCTTATCTTATGCTCTCTCCTCCATGACGCCCCAACGCAACTCTGATGTTTCGTAATACCGTGTTTGCTATGCACTATTTTTATTGCTTAATGAACTTTCTAGAACTTTCGAGATTGAATTCTGCTCGTTATATCCTTATATCCTTATACATTTTACGAAGAGATATAGAAAGGAGAATTTCTTAGGATCTTCTTAAGAAATACAAAGCCATGATTGATTGATTGATTGATTGATTGTATATTGTTTAACGTTCCTCTCGAGTACAAAGCCATGAAGTAGATACAAGTTTGTTCAAATCATGACTCCTTGGGTAGAGTGGAATTAAAATGGATGAGCAAAGATTTTACATCGGAACATTGGGAACTTTTTAAAAATCTTCTTCATAAACAGAGCAAGGTCATGATTAATCATACTTATATGGAAGCATAATCAGGAAGTGTAGATTCAATTTTCCTTAAATCATGACGCAAGCAGCTAGTGGAATGCAGGGTTGGACCGCAATTGACATAAAAACGTAATGGGTGAAAGGCAGTTATTCAAAGAAATACAAAAACATAGTTAGTGTAGATTCAAATACCCAAGTTTGTTTAAACCATAATCCCCTTCCTTTTAATAAAAATGGAACTCGTAAATTTACTTACCTGGTCATTGGTTGTTTGCAAATTATTATATCCTGGTGAGCTTGAGATAAAAAAAAAATACCACAGACACATCTGTTTCATACTTGGATATTTCACTTGAAAAAGACGTTAATGGTAATCTAACAACCAAGCTATTTGATAAACGTGATGACTTTAACTTTTCTATCGTCAATTTTCCTTACTTATGCAGCAATATACCTTTATCAACTGCATGCGGAGTGTATATCTCTCAGCTGATTGGATACGCAAGAGCATGCTCTACGTATGAACAATTTCTAAAACGAGGTAAATTATTGACAAGCACGTTGATGAAACAAGAATAGCAACAGTCTCGTTTAAAGTGATCGTTTTGTACATTCTATGGTCGATACACTGACCTTGTCAGCAAATACAATTTATCAATGAGTCAAATGCTGACTGACGTTTTTCTATACTAATTGTTAGTCCATTATTTATACACTGAATTGACGACGGATTTTTCCGTTATCTCCCGATTATGACAAGGAGCACACGGCAGGTGTGTCCGATCAACAGGGGATACTCACTACTCAATGGCACCTTATCCCACCTCTGATGTTTCGAAGGTCTGTGTTTTCTCTGCTCCTTCTTTGTATTGTTTTATGGACTTTAATATCAAATACTGTTCGTTATCTCCACATCCTTTTTTAAGGGTAGGTTGGGACCACTAATGAATTTAAACTTCTCAATACCGAGAAATGATTTCTGCTTTTTTTTTCTAGCCACAGTACTCGGGTAAATGATGTTGCCCATGGGCCTCTAATTGTTTTTGTAATTGACCTTTGGGTTAGATTATTTTCGTATTTAATCAAATATTTGTTCAATAATATTTCTGTCCAATTCACCAATAGATGAAATTAATCATTTCATACAAAAAATCGATGCTGAGATGAATTTTGTGTTCTTGTGATCTGAAAAAGAACTTTTTTTGAAATATTGCTAAAAGTCAATAGTTGTATGGTTATAATCATTTATAAATTGTTATCTTTCTTTGGTAATTCTATACATTGTAATCAAACTTTTATTTGCGACGACTTTATTTCGCGATTAACCAGGGAAAAACAAGTTCACGGCGATTTACTTTCGCGATCAAGATATTTTGGATACATATTTAATAGACACATACACTTTAAGGACCGATTTGCGGCGAGAAATATTCGCATTGTACAATTCTGAATAGTTCATAATGCCTTGAAGACAAGGTGCTTTTTCAAGGAAGGTACAAATCTTTTAAAAATCTTTTATTTCAATTACCTGATATACCTCAATATTCTAGATTACCAAATACACATATGCTTTTTCTATAATCATCAAGAAAGCCTATATTTGATAAAGATTTAACATAAAGTTTTTCGGTAACTTTATTTATCTAGTTCCATCGTCCGTATGCTGAAACTCTACAATTATTACAATTTTATCTTAAAGTACGTAAATTAGATAACCAAATGTGTAGATGGTGGATTCGATTGATCAAAAGCTGGTGTCTCATCTTTCACATAAAGATTTGAGGAATAACCTGCTGATCTGCAAGTAGCATTTGTTCTGAGATATCGGTTTGATAGGTAAATATACGCCCACGGATGGTTTACAGGCTGATGATAATCGTTAATTTATCACACTCAAGCTGAGAAGAAGACATATAAATTTATTTATATCTGTCTGCCTTCATATAATAAAAACAACAGAAACACCCTTTAAAGAATAAAAAAGGTCATTTATTACAATAAATAATAAATGACAGTAAAGAAATTACAACCTAAATTCAAATATAATAAAGGGTTATATACATATAAAAAACAAGTAAAGTATTGTTACAAATTGCCAAATCACAAAATTTGCACCTGAGACAATAGGTGTGGCATCTGACATATTATGAACTAGTGAAAGATTATGGCATATTTGGCATATAAAATGTAAACAAAAAACTTTGTACAACTTGAAAAAAATCTGAAAAGGGGGCGTTAAAAGCCCATATTAACAAGCCAGGTAATATTTGTAGAAATGAATACACAAATGTACAAATATTGATTTGCTTGTTAACGCCCCCATCATTACAACCAACGACAAAAAGAAACAGTCCATAACGAAAAAGTTAAGTAGTAATATGTACACTGTTCATTGGTGATTATTTGCTCATATGCACAACATAAGCTTTTAGCCCCTGACTAATAGCAAGTGTCCTTAAACTATGCTTTATAAGCCATCAGTCCCTTACTGATAGCAAGTGTGTTTGAATTAAATTTCAACAGCTATTAGCCCCTGAATAATAGCAAGAGTCCTGAGGTCGGATGACGTTAGCTTACTGCTATCAGACCCTGACTGATGGCAAATGTCCCTAACATATTGGCTATCAGCCCTGACTGAGGGCATTCGAATTACACGATTTGGTCAGGTAACTTACTAGTATTCAGAGTTCTAACGTAGGAATACTTTTTAAAAGCATTCGACTTCCATCTGCCCTTATGTTGAATTTGAAGTTCAGAATAACCTCGAGCTGCTGCAGTGGTAGCGGTTCCAATGCGAAAACTGTGAGTTTGGTGGTGGTGGAGGTTAAGGTTGCAGAATGATAGAGCTTGTTGTGTGAAAAATTGTCTTGATATTGGAGCACCATCCATGAAGGAAAACAGTGGTTAGAATGGTGCGTCATGTTTCCTAATATTGAGATACTGCGTAAGAGATTGGTGTGGGCAAAGGTTAGAATTCGTTTTGTTTGTATGAAGTCGTATTACTGAGGTAGGAGACCTTGTATGTTTGAAGTTTGCTTATTTCTATGTACTGGCCATGTTGTGTGTCTGATTTTAGTGGCACATTTTGAAATAAAATGTTAGTGTTGTGTTGCACCAGAGGTTTTAGTTATTTTCCCTATACGTAAGAATACTCAGAACGCAACCAGGAACATAGCTCTTAACACCGTAATTTGATGAAAAATGATGAAGTTGTGTGTTCCAAAACCCGGAGAAGAGATTTTAAAATAAGTGTTATTGGGAGCCAAGAATCCAATGATGGTTTAATCTTCTGAAAACCTTGTAGCATTTTTTTTAACAATAAAATGTTCTGTGATATCTGTAAATTCCCCTAGCTGAAATGTGAAACTTAGCAGAGACACTAAGGTACGTACTGATGAAGCTGCTGATCCCTTAAGGTAACAGTGAGGTACAAAGGCCGTGGGGTGTTGTAGGGATGGGGGGATAGGGTAGGGAAGGACTGCTCTACGAGGGGTGTTAGAAAAGTTCTCGGACAAGTTGAATTGTGAGCGCGCTATTTCCACGAAACCGGTCAAACTTTCCAAATAAAATCTTTGCCTCTCTTCCAATAAATATACAAGAATTTGTTGCTCTCCGGTGATTATTGAAAAATATACAGCCTTTTTATTTTGATAAAACTTGCTTCACGGAGCATGCTACATTTTGGCACGTTTACATCACAAAGACTCTTTGTTAAAATTAAAAATTGCACAATTGTAGCGCAAAGAGATTTCTGATATTTTACCTGCCGCTAAAGTATTAATAAAACGTCACTGGCAGAAATTTTGAACTAAATTGGAGGGTATATGACTGTTCTATAGCCGTTTATAAATGATCAATGCGGAAAAACACAGCCAAAAATCGGAACGTCATTGAGCGTCTTGGAGCACTGCACTACGTAAAAATTATGTTTGTAGACTGGAAAATGTCTGAAAAGAGATCAAAATATTCAAGATGTTGCAGGAATTTTCCTATACATACAAAGGACAAGTTTTCAAATGGTTGTAGCTTCATAAGAATGGAAGAATTGATATTTTGAATGATTAACTCCAGCGATACTTCAATACCCCCGTATCGCATGAACGTTTAGTTGCGCTTATATGGTGTTGCATAGTTTCCATACTTGATCGATTAAATGATTAACTGCATAGACTTTTTTTAAAGATCTCAATAATATACGAATCAGTGCAAAAGACATTATAGAAGAAAAGTAACATGTCTTGATATAGCTATTCAATTTTAAAGCAGAAAAAAGATAAGAAAAATCTGAAGATTTATAGAACTGCGACAAAGCTTAACGGGTTGAAATCTGGTTGTCACGTCGCCTTACGTCAAGTGATTGCTCCGTGAATCCCATGACCTCATAGTAAAAATCGTTGTAAATTTTCAAGATTTTATTATATGGACCTGATTTTTTACCTACCAATAAACAAAATGTAGGAATTTATTCAGACATAGGTCATACTTCACAATACACAATAGCTTTTCCGTAATTCAATGTGTCCGCGAACTTTTCTAACGACCCTCGTACAATGTGTTTATATGATTGAAAAATTGACTTGTAAGCTGAGGTTGTGGATTTGCTGAGTGAATTGCGAAGTAACAAATCAGTCGTTTGACTTAAATCCTTATTAGGGAAAGAGGAACTGGTGTCTGTTCTTTGTCCATTTGGGGAAACTTGGTTCTGAATTCTGAGACCTGTAACCGAGAAAGCATATCTGCAACTATATTGGCAACCCCTTGAATGTGTTTAGCACAGAAATGTATGTTATGTATAAGGGACAGAATCATCAAACGTTTCATTAGTTGTATCAGATTAGGATCTTTGATGAATTTTTGTTAATGATTTGAACAACTGTTAAATTATCTGAATGGAGAAACACAGTAGAATTTTTTAATTTAAAGCCCCGCATTTCCAAAGCAACAACATTGGGTAAAACCTCACGTACACAATGGTGGTACTGTAACCAATCCGATGTAAAATTATGAGAAAACCATTTCTTTCCAAATGTACCCCTAAATTGCTAGCATCTGTGAAAAGGTGTAGGGAAGATAATAATTATGTAATGCCAGATGAAAAAAAAGTTTTTCCATTAAAATGTTCTAAAAACATAGCCCAAGCTTTCAGATCTGCCCTAGCTTCCATATTAAGTTTTCGGTGGTGATAGGGTTTTTTAAGGCCAATAGTGAGATTGATAAGCCTTCTTAAGAATGTGCGTCCAGGAGGTACAACATTGCATGCCAAGTTCAACATACCAATCAAAGATCGGAGCTCCCGAAGTGTAGCTAACTTTTTGTTTTGAAATTTCTTAATCTCTGACTTAAGTTGATCTAACTTATCCTGTGGTAATCTGACTTGGAAGCACAACATGTAAAACTCAAGACCCAAAAATGTTAATGTGGTAGTTCGGTTAACTGTTTTTTTTTCATTTTTAATTAGAAGTCCTATATCTCTTGCTAAAACATGGAAAGCCAGGAGTGCACTATAACACTCTGGCGATTGGGGTGGTCCTACAGAGGAAATCATCTAATACATGTACATGGACGCAGTGGGAAACTGAAAACCTGGAATGCAAAATACATTGAAGTGCTGTGCTAAATTTTTCAAACAAATTACATGCATAGCTAAGCCCAATGGGTAAAGTCCTATCATAATAATAATAATAATAATAATAGTAATTGTCACGTTAAAACTCAGAAGTTCGAAGTCGTAAGGGTGTATAGGAACCTGCTTATATGCATTTTCAATATCAGTCTTAGCTAAAAGAGCACCTTTTCCTAATTGTTTTATGACCTCTATAGCTGACTGGACTGACTGGTATTGCACCGTACAAAATTCTTGTGGAATATGGTGATTATAGACCCTCCCTCGGGAAAAGACAGATGATGTATTAATCTGTATTCCCCTGCTGATTTTTTTAGGAACTTGCGCTATTGTCCCTGGAAATCTGCTTTGGTTGATTTTGTTTGGATTTTGGGCAGAGTTTGCGACAATGTTTACCAGCACAGATTTAACAAACATGTTGATCTGGCATATGTTGTCTTTGGGGCATGTGCCATGGTTGTTGTATGCGTAACAGTATCTGTCTTTGAGAGGGACACGAAAGGGCTGTTGCTTTTTGGATTTTAATTTATAATCTAATCCCAAACCAGAGCATAATGGTGAAAGATGGACTGTGTGAGCATAAACCAATAGATTACCAATTTCACAAGGGCATTTTTCCACCATTATAGCCACAAAAGTCTGGTACGCTTCAGTCCATTTTGCAGTTTGTTCGATGGGATCTTTTTCATTAGATTTCAGGAAATCAGTTGCCCATCTTGATCTGCTGATATGTATTTGTTTTTGGTGGATGAGCTTGAATCAGAGGGCAACAAAGTAGAGAACTTGATAGACTCTCTAGCGTGAATTTGGATCGAGGTTTATCATCCACACCCAGGGTAAGTAATGTTGCTGATGTTTATTTCCGCTTTGGGGTTTCATTTGTATCTACTGATGAAGAGATACCTGTAATTTCTAAGAGGAGTGATTGGGCGGGCTGTGGTTCACTTCCCTCAGTGTTTGTATCCCTCGCTCATGTGGACGTGGTGGCTGAGGCACTGGCTACCGAGCTTGTAGTTTGTACTGGCACTGATGTCTGTTGTGTGATTATGTCTCGGCATGTTTTCTCGATCGAAGGAATTAAAGCTACCATGCATGCCTTCACCATTCCTTCTACGTCTGGAGATGGCGATTGCGTTGTCTCTTGGTAGGTCACCGTTGTAATGGCTGCTGGTCTGGCAATGTCGTTCGACCTCTTTCTTTATGGTCTGGAAGCCATGTTGAATATGGGGAAAATGAAAATGAGAATGCATAACATAAACTTATGCTGTATTGGTTGGGGAATGCTTTGAGCTTATAATTTTTACCAACAAAGTTGGTGAAACATACTTTGAGCTAATTATGCTCCAAGCTAAAAGCTTGAGCTAGTAGTATAATGCTTTAAGCTAGTTAAATATACTTTTAACTTGTGTAATATGCTTGAAGCTATAAAAAATGTCATGACAGCAAACAAACATGAAAATTATTGTCCCATAGCTGTTGGATATATGCAGAGCATTTCCATTAAACTAGCTATGATAGAGTTTGTTTGCAATGAGCTAAATGTTTTTATGCTTGACATTAATAGCTGAATTAGACATTACCTTTTTCAAGCCAAATATTCAAGATAAGAATGCTTGGTAGACAATAGAGCTTTGATGATCAAATGCTGAAAGAGAATGCCAGACAAGGCAATTAGCATACATGTATCAAAGACAGGTTTAGACATTCTGTCTCATTGCATGATCATTATAGTTGTTTAGTAGTAATTAAACATTATGATGGTATTATCTCTTAATTCTAACTGCAGGGATAGAATAATGAATCCCTAAGTCATGTGCAAGTTAATATGATACATTTATGAAAATTAATACTCTTAATAATAAATAAATCAAAGTTAGAAGCCCCTATCTTCTAACCTCTAAATAACAGGAATTATCAAAGACGTGAACGGTGATTGGAAAGAATTCCTCTTAATTTTCTTATCAGTTTTTGAGAGCCGTAGTGATTAGGGTGGACATTATCGCATAGAATCTGTTGTTAACTTTTAGTGAAACCTTTTAACCTCCATAAAAGTAAACTGATGATTTTTTTCAAAAGTCCTGTACCAAGCTGTTTGAAATAAGGTTGCCTAGGTAAGATAAGGTAGTAGGAAGACATTGGCCTTACATGTGTTGTATAGACCATAAAGGCCCCTTCCGTCCTTATATAGGGGAGTGCTAACCGTCTCTCCTTTCATACAACACATATTATTATTTATTGACACAAATCTTTTAAACATAAAGTATTTCACAGAGAATGTTTTATATCAGGTTACGAGCGTTAAATCATCTAATTACTGTAAGTCGTTGCAATTTCACGATATCTCAAAAAGTACCAATTGCGATGCTTTTAATATCACGCTGCAACAAATTAATTCAAAATTTCGTTTGAGTAGTCAAACTTTTTTAAAAACTAAAAATGACTTTGCGGAAAAATGATAAATCGCGAACAAAGCGAATTAAAACCATTGTGATTATTTGCTAATCTACATTAGTTAGTTATTGCTGTGTGGGCCCTGAATTTGTTTTACATATACTCTGTGCAATATTGCCAGAGTCGAAAGTTATTATATATTTTTGTCGTCAAAATATTAATTTGAGGATTATGTTTTTATATTTAGTATTTAGTTTTTTGAGTGTAATAGACTGTATTTAAGAAATCAAGCCCGCGTTTTCGTGAATGTTGCAGAAAAATCATAGAGCTCGAGAAATGTTGTCTGAAATGTAATAGCCCAGACGTTAGACGAGACAACACTTCGAGACCATAGAGGGTATCCTGTATCATTTATAAACAAGAAGAACTATTCTACTCACAGCTCGTTAATAAAGTAAAGTGTTTCTTCTGAAGAGAAACGAATTAGGTCATCATCGCTGATCAATTTAAAGATATATGGACATAGATTTCAAGTTTAAATTTTCTGTATAATATCACGACTTATATATATTAATAGCATTTAACACAAAAATATATTGAAAATTTTATTTCATCTTAAAGTTATTGAAACTTCAAATAATTTTTGGATGGGTTTGATTGACACATCCTTGCACTCTCACAAATTTTACTTTTATTCTTAATACTTAGGAAAAGTGACAATCTTGTTGTGTATTAAAAAAAATTAAAATATTAATCAGTTATTGTCTAAACTCTTTGAGTGGAAATTTACCCTATAAAGACTTGCTTTTTTATGCACATAATTATACATTGTCCATATTCCCTATAAATGTTTTAAAATCAGTTTCGTTTTGACGTTAGATCGTAAATATACAATAAACATGCTGAATTTTCACCATCTTTCTACGTGTAATAAATATCACATTTTTTTTGTTTGATTTTGTCATTACCTGAGAGCAAAATGCTTAAAACAGAAAAAAAGATTTTCTGTCTTGATTTTAAAATGCCATATATATTACATTATAAGTTATAACTGCTTTCAATGTAGATAATTACAAAAATGTTTAGTTAGTGTCGGAAAAGTATTAAAACCCCTAGAACTTCGATAAACGTAAGCGATTACAGGTATTTCCATATCTTATAAATCATTAATTTTAAATAAGGGTTGGAAGAGTATATGAATTTCGTGATAACTTTGATAATAAAAAAACTGTCTCTGTATCAGAACAGCTTCTACAGCATAATGGAAACGTCGATCATGGTATGTAGCATATCTGCTCTTGCTTTTTTGTCTTCACCTGTCGTTTGGTTCAAACGCCTAGAAATTTGAAATATAAATATAATCTATGAAACTTTTCTACGCCACGAATAGAAATCTCTTGTAAGTACAGCATTATATAAGACTGACGCACTTAGTGACGCCTCATCAATTCATGACGTACCTAGTGACTCCTGATTCATGTATGACGTACCTTGTGACGCCTCATCAATTCATGACGTATGAACCTAGTGACGCCTAATCAATTCATGACGTACCTAGTGACGCCTCATCAATTCATAAAGTACCTTGTGACGCCTCATCAATTCATGACGTACCTAGTGACGCCTCATCAAGACATGACGAGCCTAATGTTGCCTCATAAATTCATGACGTACCAAGTGACGCCTCATCATTTCATGACGTACTTGGTGACGCCTCATGAATTCATGACGTACCTAGTGACGCAAAAATGTTTAGTTAGTGTCGGAAAACCGCTAGAACTTCCATTAACGTAAGCGATTACAGGTATTTCAACATCTTATAAATCATTAATTTTAAATTAGGGTAATAAGAATACATGAATTTCGTGATAACTTGGATAATTAAAAAAACTGTCTCTGTATCGGAACAGCTTCTACAGCATAATGGAAACGTCGATCATGGTATGTAGCATATCTGCTCTTGCCTTTTTCTCTTCACCTGGCGTTTGGTACAAACGCCTAGAAATTTGAAATATAAATATAATCTATGAAACTTTTCTACGCCACGAATCGAAATCTCCTGTAAGTACAGCATTACATAAGAATGAGGCACTTAGTGACGCCTCATCAATTCATGACGTACCTAGTGACTCCTGATTCATGTATGATTACCTAGTGACGCCTCATCAACTTATGATGTACCTAGTGACAACTCATTAATGCATGATGTACCTAGTGACGTACATAGTGACGCCTTATCAATTCATGACGTACCTAGTGACGCCTCATCAATTCATGACGTACCTAGTGATGCCTCATCAATTCATGACGAACCTAGTGACGCCTCACCAATTCATGACGTATCCAATGAAGCCTTAGCATTTCATGACGAACCTAGTGACGCCTCATCAATTCATGACGTTCATGTACCTAATGACGCCTTATCAATTCATGACCAGCCTTATGATGCCTCATCAATTCAAGACCTACCTAGTGACGCCTGACCATCATCAAAATCTCCTTCACTTCTGTGCCATTCTCTGATATTGAATACCAAGGCCAGTTCCAGTCGGCCGTAGACAACGGCCCGTTGAGGAATGCGTAGTGACAAGAATTATACCACCTGCCTCCTCCATACCAGTTATCAGCACAGTGACCACTATATCTGTCGTTATCCATGTCTGGGGTGCTGTAGTACATTCCTGACTCATCTCTGTGTGAAACCCCCATGTCTAACATCCTGTCACCCATAGAACGAAGGGAAATTAGTTAATAGTACATATCATGGCCATAGGAACCGGGAGGGGGGGGGGGGTGCTGCATCTTTTCCAACCTCTGATGTTTTTAAGGTCAGTCTTTGCTCTGCTTCTGATTTGTATTTATTTATGGACTTTTAAGTATCCCTTACTTATGCAGCAATATACATACATCACCTGCTTACAGAGTGTACATATATCAGTTGATTCGATGCGCAGGATCATTCTCTACGTTTGAAAATTTCTAAAACGAGATCAATTATTGGAAAACAAGTTGATGAAGCGAGGATATCAGCAGTCTCGTTTGAAATCATCATTTTGCAAGTTCTGTGGTCGATACATTGACCTTGTCAGCAAAGACAATTTATCGTTGAGTCAAATGATGGCGGCGGTTTTCTTTACTTATTGTTAGTGGCGTCGGTAGTCCAGTGGTTAAGGCGCCGGACTCCAAACCGAAAGGTTGTGAGTTCGAATCCTGGCCGCGACAAGCCGATGTTGTGTCCTTGGGAAAGACACTTTACACGAATTTCCTCACTCCACCCAAGTGTAAAAGGGGTACCTGGCTATAGACAGTGAAAGATATTGTCAGAATGTTAGTGTTCTAGCGCTGATAACGGCAGCTTGCACTGAGAAAGATTCTGGATTGTTAAGGTCTGCTGGGGTAATAATGTATTGTAAAGCGCTTTGAGTAGCATTTATGCTAGAAAAGCGCTATATAAAAAAAAAAACAAAAAACAATCATTATAGTCCATTATTTACACACTAAATTGACGACGGATTTTCCCGACCATGACAAAAAACACAAGGCAGGTTGTGTCCGGTCGGCAGGGGATGCTCCCTCCTCCATGACACCTGATCCGACCTCGGATGTTCTGATGGTCCGTGTTTGCTCTGCCCCTATTTTGTCTTGTTAAATTGACCTCTGAGCTTGAATACTGTTTGATATCTCCACATGTTTCATTATACCGGAGTGTACATTAGTTTGACCCACTGAAAAAAAAGCATCTTTAGGTAATCGATTTTGATCTCGTTTCATCAACTTGTTTGTCAATAATTTATCTTGTTTTAGAAACTTTCATACGTAGAACATGATCTTGCATATCGAATCAACTGATATACGTTAACTCTGTACGCAGGTGATGAAGGTATATTGTTCCGCGAGAATGTTTTATTCATATATAAAATTTTTGTTTACCAAATCATTAATTTAATTGTGATTTATCATCCCTGGATCATGCCCAGGTTGCTAATCATATTTTACATAAGTTTAATGTCTCTTATTAAAAGGTTGTTTCTTTTTCTTCGCGTTATTTAGAAAATGTGTTATTGTTAAGAAAGTGTTAATTTGACATTTAATATATAACTGCTTATTTGAAAAATAACGCACATTCTTAGTTTCTTGAGCAATTTGTGAGGACATTTTAAAAAATATTGATTATTGCCTTCCAAGAAAAAGTGAGTAAATTGTTTTGTTTGAAATTCATACCCGCACTTTCTAAAGAAAGTTCGGGTATATTATTGTTACTCATGTCCGTCCGTCCGTCTGTCACTTTTCTTCCCTGAACTTCTCTTACATTTTACACAGTAGCCTAATCATCTTTTGGAAGATGGTTGATGGTGTCATGTAGATGTGCAGCAACGTTTCTGAATTTTCGTCTGCCCCGGGGGTTCAAATAGGGGTCGAAAAACGACGTTTTTAATGAAAAAAGCCTGTTATTTTCTGAATTTCTCCTACATTTTACACAGTAACTTACTCATCTTTTAAGAGATGGTTGGTCGTGTCATGTAGATGTGCAGTAATGTTTCGGAATTTTCATTTTGACATGGGGGGGCAAATGAGGGTTGAAAAATAATGTTTTTATGCAAAAAGTAGCCTAATCATCTATTGGGAGATGGTTAGTGGTGCCACGTAAATGTGCAGTAAGGTTTCAGAATTTTCATTTTGCCACGGGGTGTCAAATAGGGGTCAAAAATGAAGTTTTTTTAAATAAAAAAACCCCTTATTCCCTAAACTCCTCCAACATTTTAAACAGTATCCTAATCATCTTTTGGGAGAAGGTTAGTGGTGACATGTAGAAGTGCAGTAATTTTTCGGA